GGTGTACTGTAGGATTGACAGACAGGAGTCAGTGATAACAACACAACGACGAGACAGATCGACGAGGCGAAAGACAGATATGTAGACAGAAACAGGTACACAGGAAGAAAGGCAGGCAGATGGAGGAACACAATAGACAGACGGACAGACGGGCAGACAGGTAGCACTGGGAGGAGAAGACGGGGGTGGGGGATCGACAGACACAGGGTACGCCTAAACATACCTCTGTCCCGTCCTTGCACACCAGGCTTCCTGTCCCGCCTGACTCGCCACCCTCGGGCGGATCCCTGACGTCAACCACCTCCTTGCCGGTGTGCACGCCAACGTTGCGCTCGGACAGCACTCTCTTGAACGTCTGCTGGACCCACCTATGCATTGGCCAGCGGTAGAATTGTTATAGGGTAGTGCCGGCGGTAGTAGAGCAGGGGCGAGTGGGAGAGTGGTGTGCACGTGGGAAGGACGGGGGGAGGGAGGGGGGGGGTGCATCGTTGGTCATGCATAGCTGTACAAGCAGCACCGTAGAACCATTCCCACCCTATGGAGGGGGGCTACTGGCGCTCGGGGAAGGGGAGGGGTCAGGGTTGCCGCTGGAGCGCGCTCAGCCATACCAGCCGAATTCCTGCACAGAGGACTGGTACAAGCAATGAACGTCATCCAATCCAGCACCAGGCGTCAAGCAAAGCATTCCTCTGGGGTGGATGCCTCAAACTGTGTCTCGAGAAGCAGTTTGGAATATCCTCCCGTAGCATCGTCAAACAACTGAGTCCTTTCTGTTGTAGTCTCGTAGAAAGCGGTGGGATGAAGCGAATGGAAAACTTTACCTGGGAGTGTCCACGGTCGGTATCAAACAGCCCGAAACAAGCGTGCCCTACCAATAGGACATCATAACACGTCAACGCGTGCCGCCCAGCGGGCAGGCTTGAGCTCGCGCGCACCCACCAGGAAACGCGAGTGCTGCACCACCATCAAGCCACAAAAAAAGTAAAGGGTCAAAACCAAGCGAAGTTTTTACAAACCTGTTGTGCGAGGACAGCACCACCTCTCCGCGGTTGACGATCTCGACGACCACCATGTCCGGGTCGCGCCCAGCCTCTCGGAAGAGCTCCTTCAGACGGTACTGCATCGCGAGGGCGAGCTCCACGCCTCCGGCTCCACCGCCAACGACGACAACCTTGGCCGCTGCACGTTACCCCCCCGCACGCCCAACGCCCACACCCGCCCGGTGCGACGGACCCCGACGGGAGAGACAGACGTGTGACAAGGTGAAAACAGGACCGTGACATGCTGGGACCGGCGAAGAAGAAGAGCGAGTGTGAGGGAGAGCACGTGGACACGCCTTTCCACTCCGGCGCAGCCGCACACAAGATCAGAACCAGATTACTACAGGTACAGTGTAGTAGCATTGCGCACGCAGGCCCGGTCAAGAGAAAGAATCCAAAACACGGAAAAAAACAAACGAAAAACAATTGCTTCCTGCCGATTAAACTGGTTTCTGAATCAACACGCTATGAACACATGAAGCGGTAATTTTCACGACCGGGAAGATAGAACACTCACTGGACGAACCGTTGGTAGGCGAGGCGGCAGAACTCTGTCCCAGTTGCGTACCCCCGTTCTCGCGAGACGCTGCCGGAGGCTGCTGCTGTTGCTGTTGCTGTTGCTGTTGCTGTTGTGATCCCGCCAACACCCTCTCGACGATCGAGTCCCAACGGGCGCTAAAGCTGTCAATGGGCTTCACTCGCGTCACGCGCTTCAATTCCATGGGGTTCTGAAAAAAATGGAACATTTTGTTCGGGAAACCAACAGAATATTTGTTGAGGGTGGGGTAGGTGGAAACACATGCGACGAATCATGGCGAGGGAGCCACGGGAGAAGATTCACGAGAGGCGTGCGGCCGCGGCGTGTAAAAACAGTCGGTCGGATTGACACAAACCTACGCGAATGAGAGCAGCAGTAATGGCGGTTCATTGGCATACCAGTAGGTCTCCGCTCTATTCATAACATCTTCTAACCCCGGTCGTCATTTCCCCAAGACCAGTTGCAACCCCAAATCCGCACACAACTTGTGCGCGAAGTTGAATGCACTCGCCCGCGATTCGACGAACTTGGGTGTGGATCCGATGTCGATGGAGAGCACGTCGTACCGGATGGGGGGGCGGCCGTCCTTGCAATGGATGAGGCGTTTGTTTGTGTCTAGGCCGACGGCCTCGGTGTGCACCAGCCCGACGTGGGCGAACCGGGCCATCTTCCTGAGGTCGATATGGCACTCCTACGGCGGCAGCATCAGCGGCAAGAACAAGATCAACATCAGCGAAAGCAGTGCAGGAAAAACGAACGTCCCTTAGCGACATTTAATCAGGCAGCACACGTCGAAGCGCGAAATCGAGAACAGAAGCAGGCATGGAAGCGGGAGAAAGCGTACGGCCAGACTAGTCTCTTCCTGCCACCAGTTCACGTGTCTCTGGTCAATCTAGGCGATGTGCATCCTCTGCTCTCCCTGGGTGCTATCACCCTTACTCTTGTTCTCCATTCCGCTCGGATCACCGGCAACCCCCCCCCCCGCGCCTCCTCCTACTCTCCACTCTCGTTACCCTCTTTGACTTCGGTTCCTACCCCTGACGTCTGTTCGGCACCTCCTTGGTGTAGTGTCCCGCGATGTGCCCCGGAAGCATCCCCGAGTACGGAGTGTCCACGTCGCGCGTTATCAGGGTCACCTGGAGTTTGTCAGCGACGGCGAGGCGGGGGGTACGCAATGATCATGCATGTCGGAACTACTGAAATCTTCGATGTCGTGAACTCGAGGAAATTCTTTGTGGCTCTCGGTGTAGATGGCTGTTAACTCTTCACTCCTCACTTGCACTCCGGGGATGGGGTTCATCCCGATCATTTTGAGGGCGTGCACGTGGGCATGGCCACCGCCGATGAACACCAGGCTCCGCACCAGGACCTGTAATGGAACGTGTTAGAAGAAAACAGCAGACAACAGCAGAGATTTGTCACGGCCATCATTTATTTCTTCGATGACACGGGCCTCGAGAAGAGTGTTTTTTTGGCGATGTTGTAATTTAGAGCGGCTCGCCCCCATGCCCCCAAGGTATGCCCGAAAACCTCTGGATGATCAAAGTCGTGATCGAATCCCTGCGCGACATCGCTACACGTAAGCAGATTGCTGAATCACCTTCGCCTGTCTGCGCGCCACAAACCGGCGCTTCACTGCTGTTGTTTAACGAGTGAGACAGGATTCTTGAACCAATTGCATTCAGTCTGAATAACCCACGAAATTTTCGTGCTCCACTCCGTTGCGCGTGGCGTGACAAATCCGTGCGACTGCGCCAACTCGCCAACTAACGTCCTGGCGACGTAAACTAACCAACTGACCACGAAGGATACATACAGACGACGGGTAATCCCGGTACATCGGGAAGTCTGCATTTTGATGCTAGCTCAGCGTATTGTTGTATAGAGCTCAAGGCAGCTCGCCCAAAGCTGGCCGAGGTCAATACTGCTGTGATACAGTGTTCCGTGTCCCTCGTGGACACGACATCAAGTTGGTGAAAGCCCAGCGGAATCCTGGCCAGATTCGCCGCCAGAGAGTTCCCGAATGGAGCCAGTCCCCTCAGCGTCGTCCGCCCTCCCGCACGGGTGCACGTGCTGCGCTCTTTGCCGAGACGGCGCTGTTGACATCATTTTGTGGGTAGTTCCATCAAAGTAGGAGCAGCGCGCACGGCCCATGCCGTCTGTTCTCACGCTGTACCATCTCCCTCATCTGTTTGTCTCATGTGCCGAACGGTGGGGTGAGTTATTGGACTGCTGTGCCTCAGCAGTAGTCTGCTGGAGTCAGCAACAGGTGACTTTTCATCCGCTTTCGTGGTTCACATGTCCGATCAACTACTCCATTATCGCGTGGGACTGCTGTTTTCGTCTTGAACCAATCTGCGTTGTGCTGTGCGGCAAAGCACGTATGCCAATACCAAGCAGCGCATTATGGGCGTAGCTACACAGCTGGGCGACCTGCCAAGGCGCGAGACAAACAGACGACGCAGCAGTCCTGCTATTTGTATGCTATGCAACCCTGCGGTGTAGCTTTCGGACAAGACAAGGGTAAGAGAGCGCGGCACCCGACACCTGTGGGGAACAAGTTTTGTACACTACAATCCCTGATTTCCCAGTGTCAAGACAAAGCAATGGTCTCACACCTGTGGCTCAGACTCCATCGGAATGACACTTGCGGCTTGTAGCCAACGAGAAAGGCGTTGCTGGTGTGGTGGGTATGTGGGAGACAAAGCAACACACACGAAATCTCCGAAAAGGGTCGGTGGGCGGTGGGCCGTCGTGTCGTGTTGCATTTTTTTTTTTCTTCATTTTCTTCACAAACTGTGCAGGTTTTTGTGCACAAACCGCGCAGGGACTACATATCCGGTCGCCCCGGTGGTCTAGTGGGTAGCCTCGCAGTCTACTTAGGGCCAGGTCATGGGTTCGAGGCCCGGCAGAGAGAGTTTTTTTCTCACTAAATAAATCCTGGTCTAGGATGAAAGTGACGCGCTGCAAAGCTTTTTGTTAGTAAACCATGATCGACTTCGTAAGTCGCGAGGGAAGGGATTGCTGTACCCTTGCGCGATAAAAATACCTCAGGCATGAACCGCAGGAGGGGGTCCAACCCTCCCCTCCTTTGTGACCCCGGTTGGGTCGTCTAGCTAGTAGAAGTGGAGGATAGGGGCCAGAGGGGCAGAAGGCAGAGTCCAATGATGGGAGAAAAAATATATATAGGGCGCCTTCCGTTAAATGCTATGGTCCATGACCTTAAAAAAAAAGGTGTAGACATATATACGTCATAGACCATAGGTTAAATGCTGGAGAACGGCGTCCTAGAACAAGTGTTCGTCGGTATGAAAAACAGAGACCGGTTCTAAAAACGTTTCGGCGAGACCAACCGAACGAAAAAAAAAACGAAGAAAAAAAACGAAAATCTCCTCACATTTTTCAAGATAAACGATGCGGCGCATCCTGTTTCACCCCAAACATCGCCGACTCAAGCCTCGTTCTCCACGGCAATCGACTCCGCTTGGTCGAATTACATACAGAGGACACCACTTTCGAGGTCATCAGACCTAATCTCGTTCTAGGACGGCCGTCCCGACTTGGGCCTGGCCGTGGCTTGTGGCAGCCTCATGCAGGTAGACCGCACAATCGAAATCCGAGGGGAAGAGAGGGTAGTGAGACAGCAGCGGAAGAAGCACAGCCGCGGGATACTGCTAATCAGCCAGCTGTTGAGAAAGGGTACCACCGAGGCAGCTGGAAAACCCGTGCAATCTGTGGTTGCTGATGAAGTTGAGCTCCTCGAAAAGGGTAGAGAGCATGTTGAAGGCATCCGAGAGAGAGCATCGAAACGCGGGAAACGACAGCCTGCTGCTGCTGCTGCTGCTTCATCTGCTGCGGCGAAGAAGGCGAAGCGCAAGGGGGCGGACGCAGCTCTCTCCGACCCTCTAGCATTGGCTCATGATGGCGGGACTAGAAGCGGTGCTACCCCAGAGACTTCGCGGGAGGAAGCGGTGAGTTTTGAGTCGCTTCTGAGGTGCTGCTGAAAGGTGTTAAACTGCTTGATTGACTGCTTTACTTTGCGCGCCAGTTCGTGCCGCTCTTTTTTTGAAGTTGAAATTATGTATCGTACACGCGCTGCCCGTCCTCTTTGCCCCCAGGAATTGAGGTCCATTCCACCAC